GGCAAAATAGTGTATTGGAAATAGTTTTCTGAGCTGGAAACTCATCAAGCTGTCAACAATCTCGTTCATCTTTGGATCTACAAATGGTACCTGGGCAACCTTCTCCCCCAACCATTCTAGCAGAATATCCCCCACACACACTGATTCATTCATTCAGCACTCAACAATTTTCTCTAAACTGATATCTGGTTCTTCATTATCACTAACTACTCCAGCAGAATTTGCAATCATCTCCAACTTTGCTATCTGTTCAAACAAAAACGGAGCTTGTTCATTGGGATAGATAGACATGTGATGTTTATGGAACTGTATTTATGGAGCAACTTATTCTGGCATTTTACAAAGTATTTTCTGAGGGAAAAAAGTAAAAGACTGTTTTTTTTATTACAAATTAAAATGATCCTTCAAAATAACTATTTTTCTTTCATCTCTAAGTAACATTAAGTTTGTATTAAAATATCTGTAGCATGTGACAATTGTGACATGCTCAGATCTGTCATGTTTTTTCTCTCTGCATCTGAATTTCAGTGGGTTGCTGAAAGTAAAATTCAATCCCACACTGGAATGGACTTGCCCAGATTATCATAAGTCATTTGTTTTTAGTCTTTCCAAATGAATAAGAAATTGTATATATAGGTAGTCCTCGACTTGAGACCACAATTGAACTCAAAATTTATGTTGCTAAGTGAGAAATTTGTTAAGTGAGTTTTGCCCCATTATAGACTTTTCTTGTCACGTTTGCTAACTGAATCACTGCAGTTGTTAAATTAGTAACATGGTTGTTAAGTGAATTTGGTTTCCCCAAAGACTTTGCTTGTCAGAAGGTTATGAAAGGACACTGCAGCCATCATAAATGTGAATCAGTTTTCAAGCATCTGACTATAAATCGCATGACAATGGGGATGTTGCAATGGTCATAAGTGATCATCAAAAATGGTCATAAATCAATGTTTTCAGTGGCATTGTAACGTCAAATGGTCACTAAATGTACTGTTGAAAGTCAAGAACTACCTGTAGCAAATTCTCTTTATCATGAATGAATACACGCCATTAAATCACTTATGTGATCATCCTAATGACCACATAGTGCACACCTATTATCCAACTAGGATGCCCAGAAAAATGGTATTTTAGGGCCTTCACCACCAGAGGCACCTGGGGTTCTGCTTAATGACTGCAATGGGAGAGCAGAATTTTTGGTCATTAAGCATGGCGATCACATGGATACCTCACTTAATGACTGCCATGACACATGACTATAATGGGCAGGTGCCATCACAGTCATAAGTCGATTATACCTGTATAATCAATTGCTACCAGTGGTGGGATTCAAAACTTTTTACTATTGGTTCTGTGGGTGTGGCTTGGTGGGTGTGGCCATGTGACTGGGTGGGTGTGGCTTTTTTGCTTTTTTTCAGCCACTCCCCCATCTGTTTTTTGGGTCTTCTGGGCCTCAGGCAAGCCTCCTGGGAGGTGTTTTTGCTCCCAGAAGGCTCCCCTGGGGCTCAGGAAGAAAAAAAATGGAGCCTGGAGGGGCGCGCAGCACACACTCCCTCGCTCCGTTTTGGAGCCTTCTGGGCCTCAGGGGAGCCTCCTGAGCGAAGCAGTAAGACAAGCTAGGGGAATCCCGATTGTCGGGAGGGGAAAAAAAGAAATACTTTAAGGGGCGAGCATCAGGCAGGTGGGGTGAGTGAGCATCAGGCAGGCGGGGCAAGCGAGCCAGCAGCGATTGGGTGACTGGGTCAGGGGCGTGGCCAGGCAGAACTTACTACCGGTTCGATGACCCATGCCAAATCCTTGCTACCGGTTTGTGTGAACCGGTCTGAACCGGCTGAATACCACCAGACTGCTACACAGATTTTTATTCTTTTTCCCTAAACGAAGAAGTTTGCCCTTGTCGTTATTAATTATTGTTCCATTACTTTCTGCCCGTTTCTCCAAATTATCAGGTTTGTTTGAAATGTCATTAATCTCTTCTAGGGTACTTTATACCATCTGCAGATTTAATAAACTTTTCTTTTACATTCTCAATCAAACAGCGGATCAGGCAAGTGGAGTATGCTGTGGGTCAACTCCAAATGAGTTCCAGCTGGTAAAACCCAGAGGCATGACTTTTCTGCTGTGGCCTCCCCTCTCTGGAACATCATTTCTCCTGAGTTGAGGTTCTTCAAGAAGGCTCTTGAAACATGTTTTTTTCATCAGCCTTGGGGATCCCAATGTTCAAGGCAGCTCTATGAGATTGTGATGTTTCCTCTCCTGGTTTCTTGGGTTTTACTTGTTTGTTTTATTTATTTTGCACGATTACTTTATGTTTATTTTATTTTGGTTTGTTTGTTTTAGATTCTTGTGGAGCTTTTAATTGTTGTGTTGTACTCAGCCCAGAGATATGTGTTTGTGGAAGGGTGGCTATATAAATATGGTAAGTAAATAAATAATAAAATATTGAAAAGTAGGTTACCTAAAATATTTTTATGGTACCACACTCACTATCTTTTTTCTAATTTGGCAAGGAGCATTGATGGCTTGCAATCTATGTATGATTTTCATACCATATTGTTAGGCAACCACTTGATTGCTGCACTATCCAGTATGTTTGATCTAAAAAAAATAAAAAAGCTAAAATTAATCTGCCACAATTTGTTCTCAACAAATCACTGCCGACTCCTGGTAATTACTGCATTGTTTTCAATGTGGGTTATACTGTAGATCCATCTCTTGATGATTGGTTCTAAATTGCTGATCTAACTCTTGATGAGTTCTAGAATCTTCCCAAGGATCAATGTCCAACTGGTTTGTAGTTTGCTATATCCTCTTTTGACCCTTTTTAACATCATGTCTCCTCCAGTCGCTTGGCAGCATCCATTCTCCAAGAATCCTCAAATATAATAGATATAGGAGTTCAACCAGACCATCAGCTATTTCCTTTAATACAGTTCTCTAGGATACAATTACTCTAGTCCTAAAGTTAAACTCAAAGGTTTTTTTTTAATAATGTTGCTGTCAGTCTAAAATACAAACCTTCCCTTTCATACTGCTCTTCCTATGTAGAACTCATAGTTTTGTTGAAGACTTAACTAAAACAGGAGTTAAATATCTTTGTTACTTATTAGCATTTTTTCTTCTTCATTGGGCAGCTATTATAGTGATTGATTTTGAAGAATTGTTAAGGAACCCTGCTTTTTAAACATGTTTTTGCTAATTTCAGCTAATTCTGAATTTTGGTTTTCCAGTTATCAGCACTACAGTTCTGGGCCACCTGCTCTTCCTTTATGATCTGGTTCTTTCATTTTCTGTATTTGTCTGCCCCCTCCCTCCCAAATCTTCCTTTAACTTTTTTATGTAGTCACACTGGCTTATTTTGCTGTCCTCCATTTTTGCCTCTACATTGGAACAGTTTGTGACTGTAATTTTATTGTTTTCGTCCTGCTTTTGAGCTCTTTTGCTATTAGCTTCTCTTGCCAGATGTTCTTAGTGATCCAGATTTTTTTCAAATCCACTTTTTAAATCAAATATATGTGTGCTCAGTTCATTCTGCTCACTTTTAGTTTTCCTTAAAATCAAGAACTCAAGACATGGTCACTTAATACCAGATCTATACTGTACTGGATAATACGCTGTATTCTGTTGCTATTTAGATAAAACCATGCACATTTAAAATTAAAATGACCAGATCATTATTTTTACTCATTTAACTTTCATCTTGAGAGAACAAGCTTTCACAAAAATCCTTCAGAAACAAAACGTCATGACCAGTACTTGTTCATTATGTACATTAGGCATCTTAATAATGAATACTAATTATTTTAATGGATAATTGTGCAATGTGATCCAGTTAGCTTTCTCAGCAGAAAATGCCACTGAATTTTGACACTGCCTATTAAACATGCTTAGGATTGTAAGCTGCCCAACATCTTTATTCAACTCGGACTGCTTTTGGGAAAACATAGTTTTAATAATCACACCTAGGATCTGCCTGTTAGAAATTAAAACAGGTTAGGAAATGATTTCATTATACATAGGACAATAATTTCTGTGACTAATAAGTCCAGGGGAAAATTTTCTGCCTTCCCAGATGTGACGACCCAAGGTGTGTGTGTGTGTGTGTGTGTGTGTGTGTGAAATAGGCAGCATAATTATTTGCTCTGCTTTAACATTTCCTCCAATCCACTTATTGATGGGTCCCTTTCCTGCAAACTTTTCATTTCCCTCTCTCGAATAAATTTGCCTGCACGTTCCTTTAAAAACATTTTTTTAAAAAAACGTGCGCTGCTAAACTCTAACCCCATCCTTTTCTAGTCACTCAGCAGCTCGCTTTCTCTTTTTAAAGTCTTCATTTCCAGCCTAGACTCGAGAGTGGGGGGAAGAAAAGAAGAAACTGCCCCAAAGTCCTTGCAGATCTGGGACGGCTCTTTTCAGCATCCAAACCAGAGGGAATCTGGCTAAAATCACACGCCAAGCATCTTTTTTCTCTCGCAGGGGCGTTTAACACCCCGGCGCCCTCCTGTTTCTCGTCCCGCTCGTTCGCCTTCAAAGCGACGAAAAGCCGCAACAGCGGGAGCGCCCAGCTGGCTGGGCAGCAGCAACAAGTGCCTCCCGCAGGGTCGACAAGAGCCCCGGGAAGGCCTTTGAAGGGCATCGCCGCTTTTCTTGTTTGGCGGGCTGGCTGGGGCTTTCCAGGTTGCCACGGGCTGGTGTTGCCTGGTGCTGGCTTGAGGATGCGGATCGACAAAGGTCGATGCGGGTCGACGAAGACCATCCCCGCCCCCTGATAACCTTTGAACGAAACCAGGCGGGTACAAACGTGCTTTCCTGGCATCTAGGCCCGCCAGCTTTCTTTCTCTCTCTCTCTCTCCCCCTCTACCAGTCTGCCCAAGACGGCGCAACGACGCGGGTGCCGAAAAGTGCCAATTCCCGCCTCGGTCGCCTGAGGCGCTTCTCCAACCTCCATCCATCCCCCGCCGGCGCGCAGGGGGAGAGACGCGGCTTTTCCTCACACTTACCCGGGAAATAGTCAGCGGAGTGCTAAAATCTTTCCCTCCGACCAGGCGGAACCCCCATGGCGAAGGACCGTTCAGAGCCACTGTTTGGGGCATGGCGGGGCTCTTCCAAGCCAGAAAGGAAAGCCGGACGAGGGAGCGCGCCTGGCCAGCCCGCTGAAAGCAACTCGCAAAGGGGCGCCTGCTCCGCCAACTTCTCGCCTCTCCTCTCTTCTCTTTGCCTCTGCTGCTTTCTAATCCACTTAAAGCGCCTGCTAATCTCTCCGGTTCGGCCTGACGTCTCTCGGCTTCCCCGTACAGGGGAGAGGGAGGAGGAGGAGGAGGAACAGGGGGCAGAGAAAGGGAGAGGCGGGGCCCTTCCACGCTCAGGGCGGGCGGGAATCCAAATTTCTCCTTTGCCCTTCTGCACAACGAGCCGTTGGGTAAGGATACTCCTTGGTTAGACTTGGGGAGGGATTTGTTTTTGTTTTTTTTAGTTACAGAAACAACCTTTTCTTCCCTGCTGTTCTTTTATACCTGAGTCAATTGCTAACCAATGCTCAGATTATCAGGAGAGAGAGGGGGGAGGTAGAGGGGGGAAAGGGTGAGGGTGAGAGAGAGGGGGGGGAGGGAAGGAGAGAGGGGGGAGAGAGAGGAAGAGCTTAAACCTGAAGTTCATATGCTTTCCCCACTGAAGAGCAACTTTTCTAAGGAAAGCATACAAAACCAGAAACAACCAGGAAGAACACAGGTAGACCCTGCCTTTGTTTCCTCTCCAGGTCCAGCAATCTTGGCTTACATTTCTTTTCTCTGTACATGGTTATGCAAACAAGTTTCTGGTAGAGCCCCCTCTCCAAAAGTATGGGTTGGTTTGATTTACACAATATTGTACAAATCGTTACAAGCGGTTGGAACTCTGAGAGGTTTACGGAAGAATGGAAAATAAAATGCCTCCCTCTTATTTTTTTTATACTCTTATCTAAAATTATTATCTATTTTTAGGAGACTTTAAAACTGAGCTGAAACTAAGGAAAAATTGGACCCAGCTCCCACCCCAATATTCTGAGTAGTGTTTTTTTAGAGGGGGAGATGGAATAAAAAATATCTGACTTCCATGTGTTGGAATTTATAGTTTCCTAGATCAGAAAGGGTCCCAAATAAGTGGACTTAGATGTTACGGATATAGCCTGGTACACTAAATAATATAAACTTTTCCTCACTTAAAAACTTGCTACAACAACATGTTTTTTATGCTTTGTCCCCATGATGTTGCTTTCATCTTATCTTCGGTCCTGAATAGGATGGGTTTAGTCATCCTTAGAGGTCCTGATGTTAAAGCCACATTTCTCCTATTCCTGCACGCCTTCCTTACTCTATAATTATTCCAAGAAAACCCAAAATACAAAAAAAAAAAACCTCTAAGAGTTCCTCATTTGGAACTTAGAGGCAAGTTACGTGATTGCAAGTTAGGTGATTAACTTACTATGTTACTTATGAGAAATTGTAGTAAAATATTTCAATAAACTTCTGAAAATAGTTTTTCCCCCCATTTTTTAAAATTGATTTCTCCTTTCTATTGTTGGAAGATTTATCCTTCTGGGTTCAGTTCCAAATGGGGAAAAAGACACTGGAAACATAGAGGCTATTTGGAAAGATGGTTTAATGGTAGACAGGACCATATAGCTTCACCTGAGTGCTGGCTGATACAATCTTCCCAGGCTAGGTGGTGAGATGGGTAAGAGGCCTTTGTTATGTAGAATAGTGTGGCCCAGACCTTAATGGCCCGCCCATTAACAAAGGTGTGGGTGAGCTTCTGCTTCTGAGGTGAGTTTCTGCTTCTGAGTTTCTACTTCCCTTTTTAGGAGAAATATTCTGCCTTTTTAATATTTCCTAGGACTCTGGGCACATGAGCCATCACCCACCTCAGCCTTTGCCGCGCATGCATGGGGGGCGCGCACATGGGTTGCGTGAGCATGTACGGGGGTTGTGCACATATGCACAGGAGGTGCAGGGGATTGCGCATCCATGCGTGGATGTGGCACATTTACAGGGCACATGCATTTCATTTTGGGGATGCACGCACACGATTCGAGCACTTGGTGCCGAAAAGGTTAGCTATCGCTGTCCTAGGATATTTCATTTTTCTAGGAGAGAGGTGGGTGCTAACGTCCTACATTATGTTGGTCAGCTATGCCCATGGATGAGTCTCTCTCTCTCTCTCTCTCCCTCCCTCCCTCCCTCCCTCTCTCTATATATGTGTGCACATGTGTGTGTATGTAAGTGTGTACATGACACAATTTACAGCTTTTCATCTGTAGTGATACAGCAATGGCCCAAATTATTTCGCTGCCCCACATCACACACGAAAGTGACCCTCATACACAATGCCCTTGAAACCAGGTCATTTTCTAAGTAGTTTTGTACTTATTAAACTGCTGCAACATTCTTTTGTCTGAGATAAGACAGTTCCTATTTTTGTAATTGATCCTCTCGTAACAATTAACTGTATTAATAAAGTTTACCCTCCAGCATTTCAAAAACGAAGGTAGAACATGGTTATAACAGTTCAATTTAAATTCCAAAGGTTATTGTTTGAACTTTTTCCACAACTCCACCTCCTGCATGCATCATTATATAATTCAGTATCTGTGCTCCACCTCCTGCATTGTTTACATTTACTGCACTTGCCCTTCTTTGTTTATTCTATTACCAGTTTGGTTAGGCTTGAAAAAGAAGGCAAGCTGAAGTTGTGGTTTAACCAAGACACAGTGTCTTGGAGCCAATCATTATTTTTAAATTTTGCCATATTGTCCTGTGAATAACAATAGGGTGAAGGAAGAAAAGAATTATATACATGGCTTTTACTTTTTTTAACCACATGTAGTCGCTCTCAGATTATATAAAGATTCAGTATATCAATAAAGATACAATGCATCAGGAAAAGGATCCAGGTAAAACAAGGATTAAATTAATTACAAGTTTAAAGATGGAGGGAGACCTTCACGGCACCAACTACACCCCTCTGTGACACCCATGCAAGTTGGCAAAGCCAGGTCTTCAGACTGTTTCGAAAGGCCAGGAGAAGGGGAGGGGCTGTCCCATCTTTGTGGGGTGAAGAGGATATTCCAGAAGATAGGGAAGACAGCACAAAAGGCTCTCTTCCTGGACCTGGATAAAGTCAAACTTCTTTAATTGATGGGGATCTGTAGCATGCCTTCTCTGTCTGACTGGATGGGATGGGCTGATGTGATGGGGTTAAGGTGGTACCTTGAATAATGTGGGTCCCACAGCATAATCAATACCTTGAACTAAACCTGGAAGCAAATTTTCTCCCAATGCAGCGAAGTTATTTATTTATTTACATTTCATGTTCCTAAACTATCTGTCTCCTTCAGGGTATTACATGTGCCATTCTTGGGGTGCCCAAAATTGTTTGCACAGCCAAATTCTGTACCAATTGAAAATTCCACATACTCTTCAAGGGTAGCCCCATGTAGGCTGCATTGTAATACTCCGGACAAGAGTATTGAAAGGAGGGTCTATTGTATTGATTTTTTTTTAAAAAAAAAAATCCTAACTTTTTCAAATCATTTTTTTAAAAAGTCCTAACATGAAAAATGGCCTGTTGAATATCTCATGATTTCTTCGTAGAAGTAAATATGCTGTATAAATATATTGATGTACACTATCAACAATCCACTCCCATTTATTTAAGGGATTAAATTTACAGAGAATCATAAGGACACTTATGTGGAAGATGATGAATTGGATATGTTTGTTTCCTTCAATTATTTGTAACAATAATAAAAGGTGATATATATATAGATATGTAAAATGTCAAGTTGTCTCCTCCTTTAACCCATTCACCGTTTGTATGGTAAATACCAATAAATATTTTCTTTCTCCAACTCTCTGTCAACATGATAAAAAGTACAAAAATGCTGAAATCCAAAACTCTTGTTGCTGCTGTTTGATTTTCCTCCTCTGTTGAAAAGATGGGAGGAGAACATAATATGCTGAAATGGGTGGTTCAGTGGGTGGAGTAGTTTTGATTCTGACATCACCAGCTATTATTTGCTTACCTAGAAACATAGGTGAAGTGAGTAGCTCCATGGGTTAGCAATGCATACTCAGATTGGAATGCTTTAGCCATATGTACAAGCTGTACCGGACATATAATAGTTCGCAGATCTGAACAATATTCCATTGCTTAGCACACTCCTTGCACACATTCTTTCTTTAAGAGTCTGAGGAATTGCTTGCTTGTTTACTTCACCTCTAACATGCTGCTGCTAAGCCAACAGGTTGTGGTCTGGCCAAGTTTCACTATAGCATAATGTCAATCATCTCTCAACCCGGCCAATGGCATGGAGTCCTTGCTGGCAGTGAAGTTGTTTTTTTTCCCCTTCCCTAGTCCTGGAGTAAATTGCTGGCTTCAATCCAAACAATCCAAAGAAAGCTACCCATTATCAAAAAAATTTCTCAACCAGGTCAGCAGGTGGCTTTATCTGCAACATGTCCTTGTTCAAACAATAGACAGCCAGGCAAACACATAGAATGTGCTGTGAGCTAGCTACAATAGACAAGGAAGGCATGCTCATGCCATTTCCCCCATCTTTACTTGAGCCAAGAGGGAGGGTGTGCTCATACTACTATGATTCTATCTTATATTGCATATTTCTACAAACACTTAAAAACTCATTTAGCCACTTTAAACCTGTATGGCTTGGCTTGGCTAGATCAAATAGGTTGCTGGATCTGATACGCATATAGTTCTACTTGGAAGTCAATGTGCGAAGAAATGACAACTGTTCAAATTTCTTGTCCATTACTTCAGTGGGAGATTTCCTTTGATCAGATTGCTATTAGGGTAGGCAAATGGTCCATCCTTGCTCTGATTGTACAGGATAGGTGGTTTTCACACTTTACTGTGAAAACAAGTGAGTCAACATAATACAACTGTATATATTAGTTGAATGTTTTTTCATATGTTAGCCAACTTCTCTGGAATAATGGAGAACACAGCTTGACTTTCACTGCATGAGAACCTTTCAGATATTGGAAGAATGCTACCAAGTTACTCTTAACATTTTCTTCTCAAGGCTAAACATTTCCTATTCCTTCACTCATTTTTCATAAGATTTAATTAATTCCCCTAATCACCCCCGTTCCCTTTCTTTGAAGTTATTCTGCTTTGTCTGAATCTTTTGTAAAATGTGGATGGAGTGCAAAGGAGAATCAAAAGGTAGTGGAGTACCTATGACTTTTCACATCCTCATCACTCTTGCAGAAAATATGCCCCATATTTTTTGTCTCATCAGTTTTTCCATATGGAGAGAAATAAAGAGATTTCTTTTAAAAAAAAGATTTTGTGGTTTGTGGAGCATAGTAATACATAAAATTCTCAGTGTTTGCATGTTTTTGAACCACATTTTCCACCGGTAGTCATCCTTACTTTTATTACTGTCTTTTTAAAGGCAACTTTCTTATTGATTTGGGATGCAGTACAATATGCATATTATTTACAAAATTAAAAATAAAATAGAAAAAGGATAACAAGATATATTTAAAATATCTGGGGATATAGCTAGAAAGCAGTTATCTAGCTGAAGCTTCCTTCAGGAGCCTCCCTTGATGGCAGCCTCCTTTTTTTCTCCTGTTCCTGTGCTTTTTTGGTGATGGTTCAGAAGTGATTTACCACTGCTGCCTTCCAGGATATTTTTTTGCTATTCTATTTTTTGCCTATAGCTCTTTAATTTGCTAGTGATCTACCCTTCAAAAGATAACTATTTTTAATCCTGCTTAATTTATGAGCCCAGACCAGGTTCACCATTTAATTCCAACTGTTAAGAGATTAAGTATGTAATTGAAATGTATACAATTATAAGCAAATTATCTAAGCTTTTTAAAATTCACTGGGACTTACTCCCAAATAAGTATGCACCAAATTGCATCTTTAATACATGTATATACAATATATTTAACTCAATATATGGCTGACCATCTGAAATAAATGGCCCTGGGTTAACAAGAATTTTTTAAACCAGCAAAAAGCCAACCCAAAATATAAAATAGGCATTCACTAGCCAAGATTAAAAGAACCAAACAAAATCCCCTATCCATCTAAATGCAACATTTTGAGTTGTGGTGGTGCAATGGTTGGAATGCAGTATTGCAGGCTAATTCTTCTGACTGCCAGCAGTTCGATTCATATCTGCTCAAGGTTGACTCAGCCTTTCACCCTTCTGAGGTCAGTAAAATGGTGACCCAGATTTTTGCTGATTCTGTAAACCACTTGGAGAAGGCTGTAAAGCACTACAAAGCGGTATATAAGTCTAAGTGCTATTGCTCTTTCATTAAACTTCATTCACAAGCTAGGGTTGAGTTGAAGCATGTTTACCCCATCTAAGCCCCCATCAGACACCAAGATAGCACCTCCACAGCATCACTTCGATGGCCTGGGGTGAAGGTATATAGCTGTGTATCATTGACATGTTTTCAGTTTAGCTCCGTTTTATACAGTCAGTCACTACAACATTTGCCTCTAGTTTTTGAAAACAAATTCTTATATTTTGTATCCCATCCTGCAATCTAACTGTGATTGTTTTCCAATATTAGATGCGGCATCATCTGCCAGCAATACCCTTCTAGATTCTATATATGATAAACAGAAAAACCTTTGTCCCAAAGAACAAATGAGTACAATTTTGACATCAGGACTCAAAATAAGGACAAAGTAATGTCAGAGCATTTCTCAGGATGCTCTATCACAGATCTCTAAGTAACTCTCTTGTTAAAATGGTTTGTTTTTTTTAACTCTACCACTGAATGGGAAAGTGTTGAATTCACATGCATCAAAAGATTTGAGGCAGTCTTAGAAGTTCACAAACACAATGGGGTTTTAACATATTACAATTGTTTACTGATAAGGTATTTATAACCTGTCTCACCTATAATCTGCACCTACATAAACAACCTGCCTTCCCCTCCCTTCTCCCCCCACCTCACCCAATTTGAATCCTATATCTGTCTAGCTAGTTTATGCATCTGATGAGATGAGCTACAGCTCTTGAAAGCTGATGTCTTTTAATAAAATTTATTAGTCAGAAAAGTGCTACCAGACAACATTAGATTTTCTGACACTATATGGTTTTCCTCTTATAGTATTTTCTCCCCCAATAATTTTTGGTTCCCATTCCTTTGTTACCATAGCCTGCCCAGTCTCCTTAATTTATTTTCATCTGTTCTTAAATAGCCTGGGCTCAATTCAAAAATGAAATTCATGCTGTATTTTTGAGGCCAACTATTTCTAATTGTTATTCACATGCTAAGATGAAGGTTTTCTTCTTATTCCCAGGCCCATGACTCAACATTTCCTCTAATAATGATTCAGTGGAGAAATTCAAACTGAGAGGTGTTGTCTAAAATAACAAGAAACTCTTCTTTTCCCCAAATAATTTCCAGGTAGTCAACCTGGTCCTTCATCAGAATTATAGGATTGCAGGTCAGCCACAACCCTCTGAGATGACACAACAGTGATTGGTCTCATTCGAGACAATGATGAATCTGCATACAGACAGGAGGTTATACAACTTGCCTCGTGGTGTAACCGGAACAATCTGGAACTGAACACACTCAAAACCGTAGAAATGGTGGTAGACTTTAGAAGAAACCCTCCCATACTACCACCTCTTACAATACTAGACAACACAGTATCAACAGTAGAGACCTTCAAATTTCTAGGTTCTACTATATCACATGACCTAAAATGGACACCTAACATGAAAAACATCATCAAAAAAGCACAACAAAGAATGTTCTTTCTGCACCAACTCAGAAAGCTCAAACTGCCCAAGGAGCTGCTGATACAGTTCTACAGAGGAATTATTGAGTCTATCATCTGCACCTCTAAAACTGTCTGGTTTGGTTCTGCAACCCAACAGGACAGACACAGATTTCAGAGGATAATTAGGACTGCAGAAAAAACAATTACTACCCATCTGCCTTCAATTGAGGACCTGTATACTGCACAAGTCAAAAGGGGGCTGTGAAAATATTTACAGACCTCTCTCATCCCGGACATAAACTGTTTCAACTCCTTCCCTCAAAACGACGCTATAGAGCCCTGCACACCAGAACAACTAGACACAAGAACAGTTTTTCCCCCGAAAGCCATCACTCTGCCAAACAAAAATAATTCCCTCAACACTGTTCAACTATTTACAAAGTGTACACTACTATTACTGTTAATCTTCTCATCACTCCTTATCACCCATCCCCTCCCACTTGTTATTGTAGGACTGTAACTTTGTTGCTTGTATCCTTACAATTTATATTGATTGTTTCCTAGTATGATTTGATTGCTTATTGTACTTATTATTATTATTATTATTATTATTATTGTACTTATTATTATTATTATTTTATTGCTTATTGACTATCATTAAGTGTTGTACCTTGTGATTCTTGAATCTTGACGAATGTGTCTTTTCTTTTATGTATACTGAGAGCATTTGCATCAAGACAAATTCCTTGTGTGTCCAATCACACTTGGCCAATAAAATATTCTTTCTATCTATCTATCTATCTATCTATCTATCTAAGAGTAAAGATTAATCAAGCTATTGATTTGTAATTTTACATGGTGATTGCTGTATCATGTGCTACTCATAAATGTACCTCAGTGATATATGAAGGGAAAATGTGTTACAGGTTCTGTTGTTTTTATTAGTCAACCCTTGCCCACTTAATAAACTGCAGGTTTTAAGATTGGGTGGCAAACACAACTACTTCTTCCTCCCATGTCATAGTAAGCCAGTTACTTTGACCTTTTTCAATAATATTGTTGCCTAGCAGAGTTCGGAAAATTGAATGCAATTGTGGGAGCCTCCAGGTGTTGCAGGATTTATTAATTAATTAATTTATGAATCATATGATAACCTAGGCCAGGAATATTTTAAATATCTCTATATCAGATATCTGCAGAGCAATAGCTTCTGCTGTTGCCAAAAGTAAAAAAAAACCAGCATTCCCTTGCAGAAAAGTGTGTGTGCACACGTCTGTTTGTATGACAAAGTGAATGTATTACTTTATAGTTTTTGTGTGCAAATATGTAAGGGATGGTTGAAAAAGGCAGTGAAGAAGAGCATATAATAAAAGTAATATATGCAGGAAAATAAATGGAATACTTGGCAAAAGGTTTACACTGAGATCAGAATAAGTGAAGGATGTGTAATGCCCTTTTGATTGTTTAATATATTTATGGATGTGTGCCTAAGGAATGCTTGTAGTGACATTAAAGATACATTGGAGGAGACCATGAATATACATGCACTTTTCTATGTAGATAACATCATGTTGTTGGCTGAAAACATGAAATTAGATAAACGGTAAAATCCAAGACCAAACTAGATGTTTTTTGGCACAAATAACAAAAAAAAAAAGAGAGAGAGAGAGAGAGAAAGAGAAAGAAAGTAGATGATGTTTTTCAAAAGAAGGAAATCTAGCTGTGTACACGAGCAAGTTTATGTCCACATTCTTATACAGAAATGAGAATTGGGGTATGTCAAGAGATCCAGAAAAAAGCATGGGTTATGGTGGGAACTAAGTAAAAGTGGTCCTTGGGTGACAACAAATCATTCAGTGGCCATTGAAAATTGTGATAGGGCTGTTTGAGTAGGGTTATGACTGGTCCTCAGAGTTCCACCTGTTGTAGTGTCTCTGTGGTTATATGACCATGATTCAAGCACTTAGCACCTAGCTCACAATTACAACATTGCTGCAAGACATGGTCACATAATAGCAATTTCCAATGTTCCTGCTGTCTTCCCACAATCAAAGTCAACGGGAAGCTAACCAGAAGTTGTGATCACATGAAGTCCTCACCTAACCTGTGCAGTCCTTGTTTAATGGCAGCAACCAGAACTGCTGGAACTGCCATTGCTAAGTGATGTGGTCATGTGACATTGAACTTTACATTTGCAATTAAATGACCAGTATGGAGACCATTTGGAGAGCATGAATGAGGACTGAATCACCAAATAAATACATCAAGGAAGAATGGATGGGTTGAAGAGGAAGGTCTTGGTGGGTTCAAATTAGGTAAAAGGTGAGTTCTAGTGAGATCAAGTTATGAGATTCTACAAAAAACAAAGGTAAAAGTCTGAAGAAGAAAAGACAATATATTAAGTGTACTGGTACTGGAAATACAAGGATGGCAGGTGGAAAGGTATGGAAAGGCATTTCAAGCGGTGTTGGAATAAGCTAAATTTAGATAAAGTTTCTTTGTTTATCTCATGTCTTTGACTTGGTATTTTTGACTTGGTATTTTTTACTTCCTTTCTGCACTTCAGGATAATGTTGCTGCCTCCAAAAAAGAATATCCTGATACATGTGCTGTATGATGTATGATACAAAGATATGGATTTCTGCAGGAACTAATGTGAGTAAGATTTTTTTTTTAAAAGAAAAAAGTGCATTTTGAACCTTTTATCTGAAGATTTTTTTAAAAAATAATAATATGAGGATGATGAATCTTAATAGAATGATTTGGGGAGGAATAGCAAAGATTTGCTGCTGTAATACTTTAGACTGAAACAACTTAAATGTTAGGAAAAGTGAAGAATTTCCTGTTGCTGTCCATTCAGGCAGAAAGTGGGAGATGTTTAAGTTACTGGGGTATGCACACACATGAAGACAGTCTGAGCTAGCTTGTATATTCCAACAGGAAACATTTAGTTAAATAGAAGTGAAAATTATGTTTGTTCATTAGTTAATTAGTATTCCACATTTTCTCCAGGATCTCATATATGATGTCACTATCCCCACACTAATTTTTATAATCACAGCAACGATCCCATCAGATAGATCTAGCTAAAAGGTAGTAAATTGCAATCATTTGTATATTTCCCAGGGGTTTCAAATTTCTTCACTTCCAAAATACCATCTAACAGACACGTTGGTTGTGACCTTCTGAAAATCAATGTCCACTCATCTGGAAGTTGCCTGTGCACTGCTGTATTTTAAAGGGTTTGAAGGGGTAATATGTAATTATTTTCATCAGCTATCTCATCCTTTCCTTTTACAGGGAGTGTGATAGGAGCAAGAGCTTCTTTTGAGACTGCTGGACCTATCAAACAGAGGTGATATTCAGCAGGTTCTGACCAGTTCTGGAGAACCGGTAGCAGAAATTTTGAGTAATTCAGAGAACCAGCAAATACCACCTCTGACTGGAGATTTTACAGTATCCTTTCCCTGCCACGCCCACCAAGCCACGCCCATAGAACCGGTAGTAAAAAAAATTGAATCCTATCAAAGAATACCCTTATTCCTATTAACATTATTCATATCACTGGCTCTAGTTGTTTGAACAGTAGCCTACTCTTCTTTATCTGATAGTTCCCAGAGAAAATACTTCTTTGGTGTTTGCTATAGGATTGCTCTTCCTCTTTCTAGTTCATCCAGTATTGTAGCTCTGTTTGAAACTTGCTGTTCCAAAAGAACACTACAAAAAATCATGTCAATTATACAGTTTTGTGCAGCATTAAAAAAAATATCTAAAGATGAAATGATTATAATTTCCCAACTGGATTAATTGTATCTTTCTTTCATGCTTTTTTCCCATAAGTAGACAAAACATTCATTGAAAAATTGGCAGTCAGGCATGGGTGATTTTGTGCAAGAAGAGAAGTAATGTGCTTGTCAAAGCTGCTTTTAAAATTACATCCATCAACGACAGCAACACTGTTATAATTTCTGTAAACAAACGTTCCAGCTGAGTAGCCCTCCTGAAGGAGGTTTTACTGCTTTCAGATGTAATTGGCAAATACAAAATACCAAATCCATTTAATTTTTATCTCACCTCTTAGTTCAAAACATTCTCTTTGCTGCCCAATGAGAAATGGAGAGTGCAAGATGTTTTGAGACTCTTGCCTTAAGTCTGGACATTTGTAAAAAATATCTGACTTTTCTCTCCCCCTCCCTCCCCCCATCACAACTTACACATTCTGGCTATTATAAAGCACCCTTAAGAATGATGTGACATATTTCAATAATAAAATCCCAAGCATGCTTTGATTATTTTAAATTATTGTCCCTTTTGCTCTATTTAAGACTATCATGTGATTAGGAGTAGAAACAATTAATTATTAATATAATTTATATATACTATTAATTGAATGAAATGGATCCAAAGAATGAGATTTGGTTTTTTTAAAAAAACTATCCAGTTGCAATTTTCAGTTCACTCACACAAACCCAGAGATTGTTTTCTTTTAAACCCTACATAAGGAGCAAAGATTTTAAGGATTAAACTTCCACCGCGCAGCACAGAACTATTCTAGATGTTTCAAGAGCAAGTAGAGGCTTGCATCTGAAATATTATGTGAATCAGTCCTAAATTCCACAACTACAAATATCTAGATTAATGTTGATATTTGGGGAAGTTGCACCTTGAAACATGGATAAAAAGTAAATTACATCATTAAAATATTGGATAGAGTCCAAAACAAATGTGAATTATATGATTGTAATACTGCCAGATTAATTATTATGCCAAGGAAATTGGATCATAATTAGAGCATAAATGAATCTTCTGATTCATCATAGAATCTTCATAGAAACTCAGTATCAGCCTTTGTATTTCCCCTGGGCAATTCTTTTCCCAGAACTAAATTCTAGAGAAGCCATTATGCAATTCATTCATTCATTCATTCATTCATTCATTCATTCATTCACTCACTCATTCACTCATTCATTTTTGGTATTTTTGTATAAATACGTGTGCAAATCCATCTCTGATCCAAAACCACGAAGTTACATTCTTCACTGAGGCGCATGAGGATTCTGCTCCTGCTATGATTCCTTTTCAGTTGAGATCAAAGACTGTTGCAGTCTTTATATAAAACCCCTGTCATTTTTACATTGAAAAGAAGCATGCAGATGGGTGAAACTAATAAGGTACAGTATGACCTAATCTGATTCCCACATCTCATAAAAATAGTTTAGTATCACATGCCACGCAGTGTAATTCTTGGCTAAACAAAAGCACTTCAAAATACTTTTCAAAATATATACTTTGAGAGAAAGCAGGTTCCCTGCAAGTTCAGTGTATTTGTACAAATTTAAGAGAAACAGAGAATGCTGCAGAAATGGGATGGATCCTTGTATAAATTGGCACACATGAAAAGTTCTGGATTGAAATAATTTGTCCATCAATATTTCAAACTTTCTCTTTCTTACACCTCTCTTCCTTGCAGTCTTTCTCCACTAATTATCCAATCTATTTCTTGGCAAGCTAGAAAAAAGTGGAACAGATAGCACCACCACTAGATGGACTCACAACTGGCTGACAATCTGTACTCGACGAGTAGTCCTTAATGGGTCTAAGTCTACATGGAGGGAAGTAAGCAGTGTCTTAGGCCCAGTACTCTTCAATATCTTCATTACGACTTAGATTAGGGAATAGAAGGGGAATTTACCAAATTTGCAGATGATACTAAGCTGGGCAGGAATAGCGAACACCCAAGAAGATAGGCTCAAGATCCAGATGGATCTTGACAGACTAGAACCATATCTAACAAAATAAAATTCAATGTAGAGAAAAGTAAAGTCCGACACATGTAGACCAAAAGTACACATATAGACTGGGTGAAACCAGGCTCAATAGCAGTAACTGTGAGAGGGATCTTGGAGTCTTAGTGGACAACCAGCTAAATATGAGCCAGCAGTGTGCAACAGCAGCCAAAAAAGCTAATGCAATCCTAAGTTGTATTAACAGAGGGATACAATCAAGATCAAGGGAAGTACAAATACCACTCTATAAAGCCTTAGTAAGACCACGCCTAGAGTACTGCATCCAGTTTTGGTCACCACATTATAAAAAAGATGTTGAGATTTTAGAAAAGTACAGAGAAGAGCAACCAGGATGATTAGGGGACTGGAGACTAAAACATATGAAGAAGAGAGAGTGTTATTGCAGGTGCTTCTCTGGGTTTCTATCAGTGGCTGGAGTCTGGTGTTGAAATTTACAGAAAGAAGATTATAAGACTCTAGAGAAGAGAGTTATAAAACTGTTTGGAACTTAACAAAAAGCCTTGGATAATTAAATAGGTGCAGTGTGTTCCTTCTTTTTTTACATTGGGCTATTCTCTACTGCAACAAACCCCCTCCTTATTAGTTTACTATTTTTGATAGCCACTTGGATCTCTGGCCTTTTGGAATTAGTTTTTTTTTGTTTGTTTGTTTCTGGAGTATTTTTTATTTTTACATTTTATTTTAAAGGGAAAATCTTAGTATTAATTTTTCTTTTTCTTTTTAAGGGAGTAGTTTTTTGTCTTTTCCCCTTTCCCTTCCCATCTTTTTATCTACTTCCTATATTGGTTTTTTTCTGTGGCTCTTTTTGTTGTTCTTTTTATACCCGAGACCTTTTTAATTGGAATAAGGTGTTGAAGAACCTGAAGAATTTTATTTTATTTTATTTTTTTTCTTTGCCACCTACAATATTTAACAATTTTTCCTTTTTCTTTTTATGTTTTTTTTCTTTTTGGGGGGTTTTCTCGCTATTTAACCAATTGATTGGATTAAGGTGTACAAGAACCTGAAGAAGCTTTTCTTTAATTCTGCTTTCCTTTTTTCTCCACTATTTTACTTGGAATTACAACTGGTCATTACACAAGTGGATTAAGGTCTAGAAGAACCTGAAGATTTTGAATTGTTTGAAATGAGCAGGAAACCAACAGCGGCTGGTTCCTCAATTCCTACTTCTTCCTCTTCACCATCTGGAGGACAACGCTCAATACAGATGATGTTACAACAAGAAAAAGAACAGGAAAAGGTGACGCTGCAGATGATAATGCAAGGAATTCAAAACATACAAGCAAGAACAGAGAATATTGAAAAGAGAACAGAGAACATTGAACAAAGAACAGGAAAAAATGATGAAAAGGTGGAGAATATTCAACAAATGATGATGAAGTATGATGAGAGATTCCAAAAAATTGAAGAAGATAAACAAGGAGATAAGAAGATTGGAGATATTGATGGCAGATTAACCATTGTCGAACAAGATAAAAGTGGGATGCTGGGATGGCAGATGGACAGATCAGAATTTTATCTTAGATTCCAAAACATAGAAGAAGAAAAAGGACAAAATTTGACAGAGATAATGGTAGAAATCTTGGCTGAGGCACTGGAAATAACTAAAGAGAAGATGATGGATGGAATAGATGAGGTTTTTCAGGTTTTCACAAGATATGCAATGAGAAATAGTTTGCCAAAAGAAGGTCACATTAGATTTACAAAGAAAGCCATTAAAACATAAATATTACAGGTGGCAAGAGAGAAAACACTGAAATACAAAGATAAGGAGATTGTGGTTCTGAAACAAGTACCCAGAAGAGTGAGAGAGATGAGAAGAGAGTATCGATTCTTGACTAAAATACTACTCAAAAAAGAGGTGAATTATAGATGGTTGATACCAGAAGGTTTAATGTTTACATGGCAAGAACAAAGACACAGAATTGACTCAATTGAGAAAGCAGAATTATTTTATACAGAATACTTTGGAGGGAAAGAGGAGGAGACAGAAAAAGAAATGTCATTAATTGAATTCCAAGAGGACTGTCAATCAGTGATTGAAAAAGAAGAAGGTGCAGTAGGCAGAAAGGTGGAAGCTAGAGAACAAGAACCAAGATCTACCAGGGCTGCAAAACCTACTTATAAAGTATAACCATGGAAGAGAAAAAATTGATTACAATTAATATAAATGGACTTAACTCAACTGTTAAAAGAAGGAAAACTTTCCATAAATTAGAGAAATTAAAATTTGATATAATCTGCCTACAAGAAGCACATATTAAAAAGCAATATGAACAAATATTGATACAGCCAAAGCTAGGGAAAATATTTACTTCTCTGACACAATGTAAGAAAAGAGGAGTGGTCCTATACATTAAAGATACTATTCCAGTGAAATTGATCCACATGGATGATGATGGAAGACTTTTAATGGTGGAAATAATGGACAATAATACAAAAACACTCCTGATAGCAATCTATGCTCCGAATGAAAATCAAGAAGAATTTTATAGAAAATTACATATGAAAATAATTGAACTGGACTATGTTAATAT